AGAGAGAGAGAGAGAGAGAGAGAGAGAGAGAGAGAGAGAGAGAGAGAGAGACGTGAAACAAAAATAAAACGCCATCAGCGAGTGTTGCTGTGCGCCACGGCGTAGCCGTGGCAGGTTCCACTTGTCATATCTAAAAAGAGAAAAATCCCTTTGTAATTCCAATATATTAACTAATGCCCCCTGAGCAGGGTTGCACCGGCGCCGACCACTGACCCCGACCTCCGTCCGTTTTGTCCCGACCGATCGGGGCTGACCGGTCGGCGGTCCGCCGACCAGTCAGAAAACAGGCATCCGCTGCTTTTTTTTTTTTTTCTGACTACGGAGCCTTACTGCGCTTGCTGAGTACAGCCCAAATCCGCAGAGAAAGTTTTTGGGATGGGGGAGGGATATGGGGGGTTGGGGTTGGAGCGTACCTGCGGCGCAAGTGTGCTGGTCACCGATGCGGAAAAAAAAGGAAAAGAAAAAAAAGAAAAAAACGGCTGTTATGTGTGAGAACACGCAAAAGAGAGATATAAATACATAGAGAGAGAGAGAGAGTGAGGGGGGGAAATGTAAGCAAATAGCTCCTTATTAATATTTATTTCAAACCCCCTGCGGGTTATCCGAGAGGGCCCCGAACACAATCAGCAAGGGCCACATTGCCTTGAACGAGGTAGTAGTCATAGCCATGCTGAAGGTATGGCACGCCAAGTATATATGCTGTTGATTCACTTTAAGGTCCGTGTTTCAGCAGTTATGGGAACACTGAGCACGCGAGCTTCAGGGCAATAGCAGGCCAACTCACCACGTGCTTTTCAGGGCTTCCCTCCACTAAAAATGTGCAAAACTAGAATGAATCTTCTGCTAGAACATGGAACCGTACACCGCCATATGTTTTGTCTTTTGTGCAAGTGGTGACGAGTGAAGCAAGGCCCTTAGGGGCACTTGTCATAGGAAAAAGAAACAAAAGAAATAGAGGAATGAATCTTCTGCTAGAACATGGAACACATACGCCGCCATATGTTTTGTCTTTTGTGCTGGTGACGAGTGGTGCAAGGCCCTTAGGGCCACTGCTCGTAGGAAAAAGAAACAAAAGAAAGAGAGAGCAACGGTAATAAGTAGTTGTAACTTGTAACCCATAACTGCTCGGAAGCAGACCTGACTTCGGATCCAGAACATATATTGCTGGCCTGATCTTCTTTCATACGAAATTTGCTGAACATCTCTTGAGATGTTGGGACCCTTGCATTTGCACTGCTGGGGTCCTCCGCGAAAAAGACTATTCAAAAAGGAATACGTGGGCCCCATTTTTTTTTCTGTGGGGAGGTGCACCATTGGCTACCTCAGCCAGCTCGCGCGCACGCGATACGACGCAGGTATGGGTTGGAGTATAGGTGGAGTGTAGGGGTGATATAAGGAGTATTGGGGGCATTAATAAGGATGCTGGGGGCGGTTCGGGAGTGTTAGGTTGGTGTATGCGGGTATTGGGGGGCGCTATGGGGGTGTGGGTGGGGTTATTAGGGGTTCTGGATCCAAAAAAAAAAAAAAAAAAAAAGTGCGGGGTGCCGATGATCCCCGACTGCTAGGTGCCGACCAGCCGATCGGTCGGCGGGTCGGCAGCAGGCAGCCGACAAGTCAAGAGCCGCTGACCGTCGGGGTGTGCAACCCTGCCCCTGAGGATAAATGCACACTATCTGACCTAAGATCCTTTGATTGTTATTGTCGAAGCCAGATACCCAATCCCCCTCTTGCAGGGCTGGCCCTTTTCTAAGAATAGCCTCCCATGCTATAGCTATTGAGGATGTAATCTGGTCTAATGATTCTGAAAGATGGTGTACATATCGTAAAATAGGTCTTAATTGTTCCACCGACATCCATCCCTTTTTAATTGGATCCCAAATATCCTCGACTCTCACTACTCCCCTTTTTACCCACATCCTCCACGGTGGGGAAGAACTATTGAAGATACTTCCATTCAAGTTTGTGATCCATCGATTGCCAAAAAGAGGTTGACGTGAAATTTCTTCATATCGTCGTGGCAAAGGTCTGTCAGGCAGTGGTAGTCTCCTCCATGTTTTTAACAGAGACGCCCAGAAATTATCCAGCACTAAATCTTTCGTAGATTCTCCCCTAACTCCCTCCATACAGGATCCTAGATTTGGCCTAGGGATAGTTCTATGTTGCCCTGTAACCTGCACAGGCAGGAGTGTGAGGCCTTGTAGAGAGATCTGGGGGTTGCCGAGGGGGGAAGGCAATCCACTGGCGAACCGGGGGGGGCTGCTCTGTGGCGAGGAGAGATCAGCTATGGGTGACATTGGTTAGGTTGGTATTGTCTCTGTTTTACAAAGTCCTTGTACAGGGAGGGCTAGAAGTTGCTCTAGGATTAGGAGACCAGAATTGTTGATATAGCATAGCTTACTACAGTTAATACAATTCCATCACCATCATCATCAGTAGTATCATCATCATCATCATCAGGATCATCATCATCATAGTCACCATATGAGGGACGCTGAGCTTGGTTCTCAGCAAGTTCGGTTTTGTTTCTCCGGGCAGACTGTGAGGACCCCGGCCTCGTTCCTCTTATTGGTAATATCAGCCTTGGGCACTGGGCCCTCTATTTAAATAAAAAATAAAAAAAAATAAAAAAAAAAGAAAGAAAGAAAGAAAGAAAGAAAAGATTGTCTTCTATCCATGTCAAAGGGTGCACATTTTCTGTGGAAGGGGGGGCAAGTCTTCGAATTTGTTCCAGTGCCATAGGCCTCCAAGGAATTTCCCGAGCAAATATTAGTTTTTTTATCCATTGTAGTGATAAAGCCTGACTTTGTACATCAGGGTCTAATAAACCTAATCCCCCCTTGGACTTAGGCTGTATAAGAGTGAGCCAGGCCACTCGTGGAATTGCTCTAGGGGCTTCTTGATCCCCTCTCCAGAGAAATGCTATAATTAGCTTCTTTAAACCAGCAGTGGCAGATTTGCCTAGCAACCAAATGACCGATTTATACCAAATAGAGGCCAATACAACATTGTTAATGATTGAAGTTCTACCAAAAATTGAGGTGTGTTTATTTTTCCATTGATTCATTTTGTATGATGCTGGCTTAGAAATCCATACATCATTAGTTTATGGTTTGCCCTGTGCCGTCAGAGATACCCCCAGTACTCTAATTGGGGCTTCCAAAGGAAGCCATTTCACTCTTGGTATTTCCGGAGGTCTGATTCCATTGGAATGAATCCACCATCCCTGTGTTTTACTTCCCCAGTTAACGACCATGTCTGATACCATAAAGAACTTGTCCATGAGTGCTTTAACTTCTTTCATGTTATCTTCGATCTTCTGATGCCCACCTCCAGGTTGTCGACAAGCACGTCAGAGAATGTCACCTGCCGGGGTCATGCCAAAATGCCATTTATGATTTATCTCCTCCCACCCCATAAGGTAACCAACTACCCCATGAAGTAACCAACCAAGCCCGACCTCGGAATTCAGTACGTCAGGGAAGATTTTCCCAGCAGCTGCAGCTCTTCTCTACCTTCTTCCTTCAGCCCACAGTGGGATGGGACACGGTGCCCATCACGGCTTTTCTTCTTACCGGACTGTGTCACTGTGGCACTTAAAAAAACAAATACTTGAGCCACCAGTACTTAGGCCCAGCTATCGGCCGTGGAAACACCAACGACAACACTCTCTGACAAACGGCTTCGCTCCACTACTCTCCAAATGGGCAAAATAAGAGTGAATCTTCCGCTAGAACAAGGAAAGATACACACAGCCATCATTTTTATCGTTTATGCATGTCGTTAGTAGCGGAGCGAGGTAACCAAAGCGATAAAGAAAAGAAGCCCCAATGACTTCGACAACTACAATCCCAGGAGCCCACAGAGATGACGTATCGACGACGTTAAAAGCAAAACTGGAGTCATCATTTATTTCTCTGAAAAATTTCTTTGCTTGACGAAACCAATGCAAATTGTATTCCATCAAAGATTCAAAAGATAGACAAGGTTGCCATCATTAACAGCTTTCACGCCGCTTTCTCGCAGAGAGGGGGGAACGGCGGAAGAAAGAAGGCGAGCGCACCATACAAATAGGCAGTGTCGTCTTTCGCATTAAATATCTCCTCTTTTTCCTGAGACCCAACTTCGTCTCTCCACACAGGGGATTCTTCACTAGCCCCATAACCGAAAAATTGAAGTCGGAAAATTTTATTATACAGTGGCAATTCTCCGCAGGATGCCAAGATCATATAACATGCAAACCAGGACACAACATCCTATGCCCTCCCCCCCCATTGGTGCACTTGATTTGGTGTAAATCAGTTCCGTGCACTGACAGGAAGACTGCTTTGTAACACATCCAACGATCAGATACGTCCACCTCGCACACCTTGGAATATCTTCCACCACCGTCACCCCTCTCTGTCTCTCTCTCTCTCTCTCTCTCTCTCTCTCTCTCTCTCTCTCTCTCTCTCTCTCTCTCTCNCTCTCTCTCTCTCTCTCTCTCTCTCTCTCTCTCTCTCTCTCTCTCTCTCTCTCTCTCTCTCACACACACACACACACACACACACACACAGACGTATCGACCCACCCACCCACACGAGCATACATGAACGGAACATAAGTCACAGAACATGTTGCTTTTGCTGCCTGCAGTAGAACTTCATCCACAGTGTTGTTTAGTACAAGACATTGTGATTCCTAATGAGCATTTGGCCATGCTCGTATCATCAGTGTATATTCATACAGTACCTCAAAACTGGCCAATACCATCAGGCCATCCATTTCAACAGCCGCCTTGTGCCCCTTGCTGTGAACCATTGCAAGCGAGCAAAAGTTGGTCATCTTGTCATTGCTATATATCAATAGCAAGGCCAGCGAAAGAGATCCATAATGTCGGCTACGCAGCTAGCCTCTGCAGATAAACCATAACGGCCAGCAATGGGCCAGATCCAAAGACTTGCCCCCAAAATGAGCAAAATATTGTTGTTCATCCATTTTGGAACAAGCCTGCCATGCATGTCAATTCCCAGCAGACCACTTGTCCAGTGTTGCCAATCTCTTCTCCTTCTTCTTCTTCTCCTTCTTCTTCTTCTTCTTCTCCTTCTTCTCGTAATCAACGACGGACACACTTCTCCCATCCTTCTACTCAGACACGTCTCCCATCTTTCGACTCCGAGAGAATGAGATAAGAGGACGCTGGAGAACCCCCTTCTCAATGGGGCGTGTGCTGCACGAAGGGCTTGGCTCAAAAAATCTGCTCAGCAAAACATACAGGAGCACGCAAGCAAGACGATAAAAGGTTTACAGGTCACATGGCAAGTGCCTGAACCTGACTTCCTG